GTCTCTGTCTCTGTCTCCTTTCATCGCCTGATAAAGGTTAATATTCAGGAGGATGCCTATATGTTTTTCTTTGGGTTCTCCTTCTTATTTAGCTTCTCTAAGAACCCGAATTATAGGCTCAATGTCCTTTATTTATGGCTAGAAACCAAATATGAGTAAGTACAGCCCATGTTCCTCTTTTTGGGTCTGGCTGCCCTCCTTTTAGATAGAGCATGGTGAACGCCAGGGAAGGTGGAGCCATTCAGATGTCTGTCTCTCGGGTGACCTGTGTGAGAACAGCCATGGGCTATGCTTTCTGTGTGCACTTGAGCAAGTCCCCCTCTTCCCTGAGCCCTAAAGGGTTTGGCTATAAATGAGGAAGAGTAGGACCCACAGAAGGGACGTAAAGATTTATTTATCTAGGGCTGGAGAGATGAATCCGTGGTTAAGAGCACTAGCTGCTCTTTCAGAGGACATGGGTTCAGTTCCCATCACCCACATGGTGGCTCTCAATTGTCTGTAACTCCAGTTCCAGGGAATCTGGCACCTTCACACAGATACACATGCAGGCAAAGCACCAGTGAATATAATGTAAAAGTAAATACATCTTTTAAAAACGTGCTAATATTTTTTAAAAGATTTATCTAATATTTAATGAGGGGGGATTGGAGAGATGGATCAGCACTTGCTGCTCTTGCAGAGGATCCAGGTTTGGTTCCCAGCACTGATATGGTGGCTCACAGCTGCCATTAGCTGCAGTTCCTGCCTCTCCTGACCGCTGCAGACTGCTGCACACACCTGTTGTACGTACATGCAATACACTTCTATCAAATAAATATTTTGAGAAATATTTACCGAGTCAGGCACTGGTGGTGCACACCATTAATCCCAGCACTTGGGAGGCAAAGGTAGATGGATCTCTGAGTTCTAGGACAGCCAGGGCTAAGCAGAGAAACCCTGTCTCAAAATAAACAAAAGAAAAAAATTTACTGAGGATCTTCTATATCCTAGGAACTATTGGAATGTGTGTTTATAGCAACACACACAATGCAGGGTCTCTTACAAAGCCCCAATCTATCTGGATGAGAAGGGCAGTTGACCCAATCAGGAAGACGGTTGTGCATTATGTGAAGAAAGGCGGGCAATTCCAGGATGTGGAGTGTGCTAGGATGTGGGTGTGCTAGGATGTGGGGTGTGCTGCCATTGTTAAGAGAGTGGTCAGAAAGTCACCATGGCTGATGGCAGAAGAGAGGGTTGAGCCATGCAGAAATCTCAGGAATGAGCATCAGGCCAAGCTCCACCCAAAGAAGGGGAGCCACAGAGTGCCAGAGTTGTGTGAGGAAGTGGGAAATCATGCAGAAAGGTGGGTGTGAACACTTCTAACCACCAGGATTTTAGTGGGGAGGGGTGAGTGTCTCCTGAAGCCCAGTGCAACACCCAGCTGTGGGGGATTTTTTTTTTAAGATTGATTTTTGTTAGCCGGGCAGTGATGGCGCACGCCTTTAATCCCAGCACTCGAGAGGCAGAGGCAGGCGGATCTCTGTGAGTTCAAGACCAGCCTGGTCTATAAGAGCTAGTTCCAGGACAGGCTCCAAAACCACAGAGAAACCCTGTCTCAAAAAACCCAAAAAAAAGGGGGGGGGGCTGGAGAGATGGCTCAGCAGTTAAGAGCACTGTCTGCTCTTCCAGAGGTCCTGAGTTCAATTCCCAGCAACCACATGGTGGCTCACAACCATCTGTAATGAGATCTGGTGCCCTCTTCTGGCCTGCAGGCATACATGCAGACAGAATACTGAGAATACTGTACACCTAATAAATAAATAAATCTTAAAAAAAAGAGATTGATTTTTGTTTTATATGTCTGGGTGTTTTGCCTACGTGTGTGTCTGAGTACAAAGTGCGACACCAGAAGATAGCATTGGATCCCCTGTAACTGGAGCTACAGATGGGTGGGTGCTGGAAATCAAAACCAGGTCTTCTGCTCTTAACTGGGCCACCTCTCTGGCCCCAAGCTTTGGTGGAATCTTAACTCCTGGCACATGATACTTTGTCCCCCCCCCAAAAGGAAAATAAAGTAAGAAAATATAACAATACAATGAATTCCCATATACCCACCACTCAGATGTATTCATATGTTACTAGCTTTGGTTTACACGTTTACTGTCATATTAGAAAATTGTTGGCATCAGACTGGGGATGTCTCAGTGTCCACAAACTTCGATACACTGAGTGTAGTAGCACACTGCTGAGCCCAGCACTGAGGAAGCAGACCAGGCTGGCCTCGCACTCACAAATCCGCCTACCTCTGTGTGCGCCACCACCATGCAGCCTTTAATTTTATTTTATGTGCATTGGTGTAAGGGTGTCAGATCCCCTGGAACTGGAGTTACAGACAGTTGTGAACTGCCATGTAAGTGCTGGGAATTGGACCCAGATCTTCTGTAAGAGTGGCCAATGCTCTTAACCAATGAGCTGTCTGTCTCTCCAGACCTTGGAAGGTCATTCTTAACTGACAGTGAGTTTGGAGATCTCTTGGGGTACGTGAGTTCTGTGGGAGGCAGGGATGGAGGAAAGCAGAGAGAGAGAAAATTGATGGCATCTCATTAGTTTTATTTTTATTTTATTATATTTTTTTTAAACTTAGCTTATTTCCTCTGTAAAAGTGTTTGCCTGCATGTATGGTCATTATATGTGTGTCTGGTGCCCCAGGAGTCCAGAGAGGATATCAGATTTCCTGGAACTGGAATTACAGGTGGTTGTGGGAGCCAGTCCTTTGCAAAAGCAGCGAGTCTTCTAAGCCACTGAGCCATCTCTCGTGCCGAGCCAGCATCTCTATTTGACCTGAAATAGTTCTGTATGAAGTATGCTAAGGTATCCTGGCACCTGGGAGCCAAGGAATACCACGAAGTCACACTGCACAACAAACTTCACTTATTGGGCAGGGATAAAACAGGAGGGTGACCGCTTTTGCTCAGGTGAGGATCAGCAGGGAACTGAACAGAAAGCAGGGTTTATATAGAGTTTCTTGGGGAGGGGTGGAACTTTTCAGGGTAGGGGTTGGTGGGATTTCATGTCCAGAGATTGAGTTTTTTACTCAGTAGGGTAGGAACAGGGTCCAGTTGGGGCAGTTAGAGTGTTCTGTGGGTTGAACCTGGCAGTTGGAGGTCCTCGGGAGGAGCCTTGCCACTTGTATGCCTCAAGAGGCTTACATCTCTCCCTGCCCTCTTTTTGGTTTATTATTGATAAACAATCAGGTTACTGGAAGGAGGCGATGTTAGCATTAAACTACTTCATTTTGATCAGGGCATCGAAGTACTTTTTGTAAACACTGTCAGGGTATAATTGGGAGTCACTGACCTCTTCCTCTAGCTAGGGACCAGTAATCCTGCAATAGCAACTGGTTAACAGTCTGGTTAGAAATCTTTTGAACCTGTTGAAGAGATCTAGTCAAGAAGTTTATAAGGGGGCTGGAGAGATGGTTCAGTGGTTAAGAGCATTGACTGCTCTTCCAAAGGTTCTGAGTTCAATTCCCAGCAACAACTTGGTGACTCACAACCATCTGTAATGAGATCTGGTGCCCTCTTCTGTGTATGCATGCAGGCATACATACAGACAGAATATTGTATACATAATAAAAATAAATATTTAGGGGGCTGGAGAGATGGCTCAGAGGTTAAGAGCATTGCCTGCTCTTCCAAAGGTCCTGAGTTGAATTCCCAGCAACCACATGGTGGCTCACAACCATCTGTAATGAGGTCTGGTGCCCTCTTCTGGTCCGCAGGCGCACATGCAGACAGAGTATTGTATACATAATAAATAAAAAAAAATAAAAAAAAAAAGAAGTTTATAAGGCTGGGTGCAACCAGTAGGACTAAGAAGAGCAGGAGAATGGTGTGAGAAGGTGTTGCTCTTGCTGGGAAGTCAACATGACCACAGCAACTCTTATAAGGAAAACATTTAATTGGGGTGGCTTGCCTACAGTTTCAGAGGCTCAGTCCATTATCTTCATGGAGGGGGCCATGATGCCCTGCAGGCAGATACGCTGGAGAAGTAGCTGAGAGCCCCTACATCTTTCAGGCAACAAGAAGTCGACCAAGACACTCGGCAGTATCCTGGGCATAGGAAACCTCAAAGACCGCCCCTACAGCGACACACTTCCTTCAACAGATTACACCCACTTCAGCAAAGCCACACCCCCTATTAGTGCCACTGTGAGACTCAAACTGCCACAGAAGGATGGACTCCCATTCCATTTCGGACAGTCAGTGAGTCACTGGCCAGAGGCATCGAGCTGTTTGTTACATTTTTGGAGAGCCATCTGTAGCTGTCACAGCTTGTCACTTCAGCAGAAGACAAAGGCCACCTCTCTCGGCTGTTCCTAAGTCTAACCCTCACTGATTCTGTAGCACTTTGGTCTACTGGTCACTGGCCAGTGAGTCCATTTGGTCCTGGAGGGTGAGGATGGTCTGAGCCACCCACTGGGGATCCTGGATGAACTAAGAGGAAAACTGATAGTGAATAGCTGAGGAAGTAGTCCGCCCCACTGCTCCCATGGTGACACCCATGGTTGTACCCAGAGCTGTGGGAGGTGTTGGCAAGAGTTCTTCACTAGGTACCACTACTAGTTTTGGGAAAGGAATACCAGGGAACAAGTAAGTCCCAGACCACCCGAGCAGTAGGCAGTGATGTAAACTTGAGTGCTGCAGAGAATCGAGGCATAGGGGCTAGGTGGTAGAACTAAGGGTTAAGGAATTATTGCAGTCTACAGAATCCAGTGTGCCCACAAAGTATGTTCCTAAGGAGCATAGTCAGAAGACGTGGGAGAGATAAGGGGTGGCTTTAGAGCGATCAGTGTCCAAGTGGGACAGGCAATAGACTAATAATAAGACAATGGACAAGGCCACAAATGGTGGTCAGTTTGACCTAAGAGGGACACACATTCTCCAAAACAGTCAGGCAAAGCATCATTCAGTAGCTGATATACAGAGGTCAAGGTCCGAAACGAGATGGAGTGATGGAGGTGGGACAGCATTGTCTAAAAGGGGTGATGTTAGGTGTGAGGGAGGCTTTGCACTGCTTCTTCCATGTCTATACCTAGGGTTTGAGAGAGTGGGATATGTGTCCTCTGGTTTGGTTGTTTTTTGAGACAGGATTTCACTGTTTAGCCCTGGCTGTCCTGGAACTCTCTTTGTAGACCAGGCTGACCTCGAGGTCCACCTGCCTCTGCCTCCTGAGTGCTGGGACTAAAGGTGTGGAGCACCACCACCCAGCCTTTTTTTTGTGGGGGTGGAGTGCCCTCTGTATTTCGATTGTGCCTGATTGGGCAGCTGTGGTAAATGCTATAGTAAAGTTTCAAATGACCTTATCTCCTATCTGGGGTGCCATAGGTAATTAATTAGTATGTAAAAGGTGGAATGTCTTCCTGAGTATGCATGATACATCCTAGGCACAAGCAGGCATAGCGGATAGGTGTCTGAGGAGTTGACTTAGGTGCTGTAAGGACAGGTATCTTCTTTTGGCAACCTGCTGTGAGTAGACTTCAGGCCCCACAACACACGTGATCTGGCTGAACTGTTAAGTACAGTTTTCCTAAACCTTTGAAATCTTTTTTTTTTAAATATTTATTTTTTAAATTATGTATACAACATTCTGCCTCCATTCTGCCTGCAAGCCGGAAGAGGGCACCAGATCTCAGTACAGATGGTTGTGAGCCTCCATGTGGTTGCTGGGAATTGAACTCAGGTCCTCTGAAAGAACAGTCAATGTTCTTAACCACTAAGCCATCTCTCCAGCCCAAACCTTTGAAATCTTAATATAACAATAGCATAGAGGGAGGAAGAAACATTTTTCATTACCTTAAACCACTTTCATAGACCCTCAGAACTTTCTAAAGCTTTCCCCGGTAACCTCTGCTAGGCTGTCTTTAGGAACTTCAGTCCTGCCACACAGTGCTAAGTCTCAGTTGTCTTGATGATCCCATCATGTATTTTTAAAGCTAATACATCTCAGTGACTCATTTCATAAAGGTCGGCTGCCAGCATGAGGTGCATTCTCGTATGAATACATGGAGGTGCAGCTTTAATACCATAGTAAGCAAAAAAAATTATTTATTTATTTTATTTATTTATTTATTTATTTTTGGTTTTTCGAGACAGGGTATCTCTCTAGCTATGGAGCATGTCCTGGAACTAGCTCTTGTAGACCAGGCTGGCCTTGAGCTCACAAAGATCTGCCTGCCTCTGCCTCCCGAGTGCTGGGATTAAAGATGTGTGCCACCCCTGCCCGGCTCAAAAACCAATGCAACCCGAGCCCACAGAGGAAGAGGAAGGGTCGCAAAGGACTCAACTAGACAAAGTTCCTAAACTCCAAGCTGGAGCTGAGAGGCATGACAGAAGCCCAGGAGGTTGTGGAGAAGCTGTTAGACAAAGGGACAAGGTCACAGAGGCCCAGAGGTGGGGCCCTGAAAGGTGTAGCAGGCTCCAGGAGACAGGACACTCACTTACTGAGTAAGGGAGGGGGGATGGATGGAGAGAGCAGGTGGAGGGTAGAAATGGCTAAAGAAGTATGCTCTAGAATTTGGAATTAAATATGGTGTGTGGCAGAAGCCAGCAGAAGCAAATGATCAAAAACAGACATAATTATACACACTGTAAGGAGTCAGTTTGAAATGTCAAAATGTGGGCATGGCTGAAGGGTAAGTATGGCGTCCTCTGCCAGTGCTACCTGAAGAGAGGGCACTCAGGAAGGGGTAGTGTTTGGAGAGAAGCCCCTGTATGATAGGAGATGTGGCAGTGGTGAAAAGAGAAGAGAGAATAAGTCAGAGGCTAGAGCCTTGCCAAATAGAGGGAGCATATCCTGGAACTCTTGGGTAGAACAGTGCAGGAAATGGGTTGACAGATTCCAGATCATCTAAGTAAAGGCAAAGGTATTTTGTGACTGGGGATTGAGAGATGTGGAAAAGAAGGCATTCTTGAGGTCCAGGACAGGGAGGTGTCGAAGGGGATGGTGCAAGGAGAGTGTAGGCATTGGGTGTCATGGGATGCAGAGGGACCACGGCTGAGATGAGGATCCTGAACCAAGTGGTAGTTCATTGTTTTGTTGTTGTTTTAACCTCAAGTATGGAGGTATTAAAGGGGGAGAAAGTGGGACACAGAAGGTTCTTTCTTAGGGGTCAGAAATAAGAAGCTTATGTCCCCTGAGGCTGTGGGGAGAGTGGGTATGAAGTCTGGGTGTTATATTTGGTGGGGTTTGGTGAGGTTGGTAAAGTTGTCCCTCTAACAGTAGAGGAACGAGGAGAGGAGGTCCCTAAAACTCTATCAGGACTGAGTAGGTGACCCCAATATCCAGAAGGAGAGAGATAGATCGCCCTGATACTGTGATGTCTACCTGAGACTCCCAGTCAGAGACGGCACTGGTCAGGCCAAGGGAACCAGGGACCCTTCAACCATCCACAGCCAGACTGAGGACGACTGATGGGTGGTGTGGGTTTGCTGCCCTCGTGCCGTGAGGGACATGGTTCGGGTTGTTTACTTGGGTTCAGACAGGCCCAGGCCCAGTGGTCCTTCTGGCTGCATTTGAAACAGGGAGGGGCACAGAAAGGGAACCAAGATTTAGGGCAAAGGTGTGGCTATCCCAGCACTCAGGAGGCAGAGGCACACACTTCTCTGTCTACAGATCAAGTTCCAGGACAGGCTCCAAAGCTACAAGCTCTCCAAAAACCAAAAAGAAGAAGGCGTAGCTAAGAGTAGACACGGCACTACTGAGCTCCTGCTCTCTATCGGGAGTGCTCTTGTAAGTTTGAGGAGGATGCATTTGAGAAGGGTTCCATGGGTATGCCGCACCTGTGCTGATGCTGATGGAACCGTCCCAGCCTTTAGGAGCAGCTGCTCCTGGGAGCTCCGGTAAACTCCTCCTGTGTGGCTCTGCACCCAAGAAGCCCATCTGGGGCTGGATGAGCAGGAAAGCCAGCTGTGGTTTTGCTTTTTCATTCAGTGAACAAATATTGATTGTGTATCAGCTAAGTCTAAGAACTGTTTTAAGCTCTTGGCATACAGCAGCAAACCCAAGAGGCCATACCTGTCCACTGGCTTCCCATTCTGCCTGGATCATGCTTTCCACTGGAGCCCAAAATGAATGAATGAGCTGGCTGTGACCACGGCGGTGCATGTTTGTGATCCCAGTTCTCAGGAGGCATAGTCGGGAGGACTGCAAGTTTCTACTAGCCTGAACAACATAGAAAAAAAACAAAAACAGAAAAACAGCTGGGGGTGGCTGTCCGAGAACCCAGGTTTGGTGCCCTGCCTACCACTCACTGTGTCCCACTCCTGTTCTGTGTCTCTACAGGACTATGAGAAAGCCCTGTTCTTTCCCTGCAAGGCTGCAGAGCTTGTCAACGACTATGGCAAAGGCTGGAGCCTCAAGTATCGGGCCATGAGTCAGTACCACATGGCTGTGGCCTACCGCCTGCTCGGCCACCTGGGCAGTGCCATGGAGTGTTGTGAGGTGGGGAAGCTGGAAGCACTCAGGTTGGTGGGAGTGGGAGTGGATCTCAGGCTCAGGAACTGGGCCCCTATTTTCCAGAACAGCCCACACAACCCTACTCCCCCACCCCCTGCCCTGCAACAAGGCTTGCCATTAGCCACGAAGAGAATGTTTCTATCACAAACTCTGTCCTAGACCTTATCCCTTCCAGTCCACCTCAGGGCAAAGAGATTCCCGGCAACCTCTGTGGACCACTTTGAAAAGTGAAGTATAAGGGCTGGGGATGCAGCTCAGCTGTAGAGTGCTTGCCTGATACGCACAAAGCCCTGCTTCAGCCAGGCGGTGTTGGCGCACGCCTTTATCCCAGCACTCGGGAGGCAGAGGCAGGTGGATTTCAGGGAGTTTGACACCAGCAAGTTCCAGGACAGCCAGAAATACACACAGAGAAACTCTGTCTTGAGAAACGAAAACAAGGGACTGAAGAGATGACTCATCAGGTAAGAGCCCTGGCTGCTCTTCCAGAGGTCCTGAGTTCAATTCCCAGCAACCACATGGTGGCTCACAACCATCTGTAATGGAATCTCATGCCCTCTTTTAGCATAAAAGTGTATATGCAGATAGAGCACTTATACATAAAATGAATAGATCTTTAAAAATAAATAATGTTTTAAAAAAAGAAAACTGCCGGGCGATGGTGGCGCACGCCTTTAATCTCAGCACTCGGGAGGCAGAGGCAGGCGGATCTCTGTGAGTTCGAGTCCAGCCTGGTCTACAGAGCTAGTTCCAGGACAGGCTCCAAAGCCACAGGGAAACCCTGTCTCGAAAAACCAAAAAAATAAAAGTAAAAAAAGAAAACCCAACAACAAAAACAAAAACAAACAACAACAAAGCCCTGGGTTCAATCTGTAGTCCTACATAAAACCCAGCTTGTTAGTGCATGCCTCTTATCCAGTCCCAGCACTCTGGAGGTGGAGAAGGATCAGAAGTTCAAGGCCTGACTGGGCTACATGAGACTCTATCATTTAAAAAAAGAAAAACAAGGGCTGGAGAGATGGCTCAGCGGTTAAGAGCATTGCCTGCTCTTCCAAAGGTCCTGAGTTCAATTCCCGGCAACTACATGGTGGCTCACAACCATCTGTAATGAGGTCTGGTGCCCTCTTCTGGCCTAAAGGCAGACACAAAGAAAGAGTATTGTATACATAATAAATAAATAAATATTTTAAAAAAAGAAAAGAAAAGAAAAACAAAAGAAACAGAAAAAAAGTTCCCCCACTCAGACTCGAATTCCATTACTTCTTCCTCTGGTCCCAATAAAGGTACTTCTTCTCTCTGAGTCTGTTTCATCAGCCAGAGATTACTGTGATCTTTGTGGTACAGTGAGGGAGGCCTCACCAGCTTCATGACCCTAGCTGTCCCTTCTGAGGGGCTCCTGGGTATGCGAGCTTGCCTGAGTGCCCAGCCTCCCTTGCAGGAGTCCATGAAGATTGCTCTGCAGCATGGCGACCGACCACTGCAAGCGCTCTGTCTGCTCTGCTTTGCCGATATCCACCGGAGCCGCGGGGACCTGGAGGTGAGATCACCAGGACGAGGTGGGGGAACCTTGGGCCTGGATCACCTTAATTCCAACTCTGCCTGGCTTTGCAGACAGCCTTCCCCAGGTACGACTCCGCTATGAGCATCATGACTGAGATTGGAAATCGCCTGGGACAGGTACATGTGCTGCTGGGTGTGGCCAAGTGCTGGATGGCCAGGAAGGTGTTGGACAAGGTGAGGCCAGGCCCTTTCCTGTAGCTAAAACTCTCCCTTGTGCTCCCAATTTGGGGCTACATAGGCAATACCGGGGGTATGGTATTAGACTTGTGCCCTTTATTTAACATCTGCCTCACTCTGCTCCCATGAAGTCCAAATATTCCCAGTGTTTACACTCAAAGGAAGGCCCGTGTCTTAGCCTAGGGACCCACAGCTTATAAAGGGCCAAAGCTGGCATTTGAAGATGAGATTCTTAAATTCCCTTCCACTGTCTCAGAGCATCCCACGAGCCCATTATTCTGCCCATTCTGTATGCATAAACTAAGGTAATTTGCTCACACAGTCCTTCCTACCTTCCCACGGGATGATGGGTCCACCCATTTCCCTCCCCAAGCCCACTTTCCTTTTCTTTGCAATGAGTCAAGGCAGGCAGACTGCCTACACCTCTGGCCTCTGCTCACCTTCCAGGCTTTAGATGCCATTGAGAAAGCCCAGGACCTGGCTGAAGAGGTTGGAAATAAGGTCAGACATGATTCTGTCTCCTGGGTCTGGGATCAAGAACCCCGCCACTCGGTGGAGGAGACAGGATAATCGGAGTTCAAGGCTAGAGTTGGAAACTAGCTTGAGATACGTGAGACCCTGCTAGAGCTCCGAGCTCCTCGGACCTTCTGATGGCACTTGCAGCCATCCGGAACCCCTGGATCTCCAGCTTCCTCCCAGAGAATATTTCTGGGGCTGGGCAGGCATTTCATAGCTTGGAGAAGCACTGAATCCCTAAAAGCCTCTTAACTTAATTAAAAACCCCAGCAGGCTGGAGATGGCTCAGCACACCTGTAATTTCAGTTCCATGGATTAGACATCTTTTCCATGGGCACATGGACAAGGGCATGCCTATGGTACACATACATATGTACAAGCAAAAATACGTGAACACCCACATTACCAACCCTAACGACATCCTCTACTCCTTAAGAGCTGGGTACTTGTTATCAGGTGCTGTGTAGCCTTATAGGTATTGGCTGCAGCCTTCCCTGGGAGCGATCTCATGCTACAGATGAGGTCAAAGGCCCCCAGCTACCAGCTGCTGTGTCTTAATACTATAGCTTCCTCGGTTGTCCCCATTGGGTTCAGACCTTAAAGCCTTGGAGAAAGCTTGGTGTTTTCTGTCTTCTAGAAAGCATGCATCTCTTTCGGCTCTGATGCACAGCGCAGCTAAGATGTTGACCACAGCCACTCACATTTATCCGGGTATCACACTGGGCAGAAGTGAGCACTCAGTAACAGTTGGAAGCAAATGAGTTATTGTTGAGGCATCACAGCAGCAGGTTTGGTCAATAAAGTCCTTCAGAAACACGGCATGGTGGGGCACCCCTGTTCCAGCACTTGGGAGGCGGAGGCAGAAGGATCAGGAGTTTAAGGCTAGCCACGGCAATATAGTGAGTTTGAGGCCAGCCTAGGCTATGTATGTGAATCCCTATCTCAAACAAAACCATGGGTCCCACGTTCTCATCTCTCTTCTCACTCACTTTCTGTCCCAAGGGAACCTAAGGCTCGGGGTGGGCAGGGTCTTTCGTGACAGGAGTAGCACCTCCCTAGCCCTGCCCTCTGTCTAGCCTCACAGAATCTGTTCCCACCGTCTTAGCTGAGCCATCTCAAGCTGCACTGCCTGAGTGAGGTCATCTACCGCAGCAAAGGGCTGCAGCAGGAGCTCCGCGCGCACGTCGTGAGCTTCCATGAGTGTGTGGAGGAGACCGAGCTCTACTGTGGCCTGTGTGGCGAGTCCATCGGGGAGAAGAACAGCCGGCTGCAGGCCCTGCCGTGCTCCCACATCTTCCATCTCAGGTGAGGCCTTTGCTGGGTGGGCACGACCCCAAGATCACACGGGCGGTATCAAAGGCAAACCACCGGGTGCCTTCCCGGGCCCACTCACTGGCTTCCCTCCAGCCTCATGAGGGGCTGTGCTTAATATCATCCCAAGGGGAGTTCAGAGAGACCCCTTCCAGGACCCCTTGCCTCGGTGGCAGCAGATGCAAACTTTGTCCTAGCCTGGAAGCCTCTGGTGCAGGACAGACAGGAAGTGAGCAGGAGGCCCTGAGAGCCTTATCTGCCACTTAACACAAGCCAGAGACTGGAGACAGTCTGGTCTGGGTGAGTGGACAGAGCCCTCTGCCTCTGCAGGTGCCTGCAGAGCAATGGCACTAGGAGTTGCCCCAACTGTCGCCGCTCCTCCATGAAGCCAGGTTTCGTGTGACTTCAGTGGCCATCTTGGGTTTTTACACCACTTCCCTTGGCCCTTTCTCTACCATCAAGCTGGAAGCCCTGGTGAAATCCTAGAATAGCTACCAGGACCTCCATTACCAATTTAAGGCCTGGGGTCTGCCTGCTGCTTCTCTGGTCCTTGCTCCCCTCCCCTGCCTCTTTCTACTTTGTTCTTTATAGAAAAATAAACTGCTTGTACCTGGTGCCAGCGATTCTGACCGTTTCTCCTCACATGGGCTTCCCCAGATACAAGCCTCACTCAATACTCCATGTGAGACCCCCAGCCACCCACCTTCTTAGCAATTCAGTTACTACAAGAATTGGATCCAGGAGGCTTCCTGAATGAGGTCTCCACGCTTCCTTTGTTCACAGAGAGCCTTGCTTTTCAGTAACTCCCTTCCCCCAGCTCTTGCTCCCTGCAGTGGATAATAAATCTTTCTCCTTTTTCAAGCTGGGGAAAAAAAAAAAAAAAGAATTGGAGCCAGGTGGTGTGACACACACTTTTAATCCCAGCACTCAGAGTCAGAGGTAGGCAGATCATTGTGAGTTCGAGGCCAGTCTGGTCTACAGAGTGAGTTCCAGGACAGGCTCCAAAGCTGCACAGAAACACAGAGTTTCATTATGTAGTTCTGGCTGGTCCGGAAGTCATAGTGTAGATTCAGATTCACAGAGCTCTTCCTGCCTCCGGCTCTGGACTGCTGGAACTAAGTGCATGTACCACCATGTCACTTTTATTAGAAGGAACTGATTATCATCTCCCAAAGGCCTCTGTACAAATACCACCATAAGAGGGGTTCAATTTCAATAGGTGAATTTGGGACCATAGGAAAAAGTTCCTACTGTGAGTATATTTGAAGAAGAGGCCTTGAACAAGATAGTTAAAGTCTGGAAAAATAGATCAGTGGGTAGTGTACTTGCTTAGCATGCATGAGGTTCTAGCTTTAATTCCCAACACCACATAAACCAAATATGATAGCATATTCTAGCATTTGGGGCTGAGGGCAGGAGGAGATAACGCATCTCATGTTGCAGGTGATGCTCTGGTTAAGCAGGAGATTATTTTTGTTTTGATCCGGTTCTCTTGGTTTGATCCAGGGCTTTGGGAACACTCTTCCACTGAGCTATACCCCTAGCCCAGGAGGATGTTCTTTTTGTTTTGTTTTTGTTTGTTATTTTGAGACAAGGTTTCTCTGTTAGCCATGGCTATTCTGGAACTCACTCTGTAGAGCAGTCTGGCCTCAAACTCAGAGATTCGACTGCTCCTCCCTCCTGAGCCCTGAGGTTAAAGGCGTGTGCCACCATTGCCCAAGTGGAAATTCTTTTAGGAAATTCTTACAATAGAAGTATCCAAGCTGATTTGGCTTCTAGCCTTCAACTTATTTTCTTTTGATTCCTGAAAAGAAGTCACAAGGCTGGCCATGTTGGCTCAGGGCCTTTGGTCCCAGCACTCGGGAGGCAGAGGCAGGCAGATCTCTAAGTTTGAAGTCAGCCTGGTCTACAGGGCAAGTTCCAGAACAGTCAGGGTTACAAAGAGAACTCTGTCTTAAAGGCCGCCCTCACTGCAAGAGAAGTTACTAGTGTTGTATTTAAGTTCTCTGGGAATTTGAGGCATGTGTGTACATATGTGCCAGGCACAGATGACACTGTTGGAATTTGGAAAAGGCTGCATGCAAGACAAAGATGCCATGTGACAGAGCTCAGGTGGATATTGGGGGGAGAGTGGATGAGAAAAGGGGAGAAGGGAGACTGGCCTCTGGGGACAGGAGTGACAGCAGAGAAGAGAGAAGAGAGAGAGGAGAGGACAGACAGAGACAAAGAAAGAGAGAGATGGGCGGTGGACAGGGCCCTTTGTAAAAAACAAATATTTAGTCGGGCAGTGGTGGTGCACACCTTTAATCCCAGCACTTGGGAGGCAGAGGCAGGTGGATCTCTGTGAGTTCGAGGCCAGCCTGGTCTACAGAGCAAGTTCCAGGACATGCTCCAAAGCTACAGAGAAACCCTGTCTCGAAAAAAAAAAAAAAAAAACGACACACACACACACACACACACACACACACACATATAGTTGTGCCTGCATGTGTGCCTGCATGTCAGAAGAGGGCACCAGATCTCATTATGGATGGTTTGAGCCACCATGTGGCTGTTGGGAATTGAACTCAGGACCTCTGGAAGAGTGCTCTTAATCTCTGAACCTTCTCTCCAGTCCTGGACAGGGCCTTTTTAAAGGGGGAACATAGTGAATGTGCACAGGAGGTGCTCTTAGTGGCTGCCGCTGAGGACGTATACCCCAAGGTCTGGCCAGCACAGATGCCTGTAGTCCCAGCTGCTCAGGAGGCAGGAAGATGGGTTCAGTTTAGGAATTCAAGGAACTGTCCCATATCTTCAGTGTTTTGTTGTTGTTGTTGTTGTTGTTGTTTTACAAACACATAGCTTTTCATAAGGAGCAGATTAGAGTAGGGAATAGGCAGGGTGGGCGGGCTTAGTGTGAGAATGGTTCTCAGGGGTGGTCTCTCTTAGGAGTGGTTTTGAGAGGTGACTCGAGAAGCAAAGAGAACTGTGGTACGTCTCAGTGGTATAGTGCTCCTCGAGCACGCGGGAGGACCCAGGTTCAAACCCCTGTACTGAGGAGAAGACAGGCGAGAAAGCCAGTGTCGCGGTTTTAGTGTTGGCACTCAAGGTAGGGGGTTGCCATGAGATCGAGGTCAGCCTGGGCTAAGCAGGAAGGTCTAGGCCAGTTAAGTTACAGAGTAAGGTCCTTGTTTTAAAAAAAAGGAAATATGACTGGAGAAATTGCTCAGTGGTTAAAGGTGCTTATTGCTCTTGCAGAGGACCTGAGTTCTATTACAAGATATTTGATTCCACTTTGTGAAGATGTGTCACTATGATTGGTTTAATAAAAAGCTAAATGGTCAATAGCTAGGCCAGGAGATGTAGGTGGCACTTCTGAACAGAGAGGACTCTGGGAGGAAGGAGGGGATATGCCAGCCAGATGCAGAGGAAGCAGGACATGACATGTATGAGGAGAGGTAAAAGCCACAAGCCTCATGGCAGCAAGTAGATTAGTAGAAATGGGTTGATTTAAGTTGTAAGAGCTGGTCAGAAACAACCTTGAGCTAAGGCTGAGCTCTCATACTTAATAAGAAGTCTCTGTACGTGATTTGAGAGCTGGCCGGTAGGACAGAGAAAGACTCGTTACAGAGTTCAGATCCCAGCACCTATTTTGGTGGCTCACAACCCATAATTCCAAAAATTCCAACTCCAAGGGGACCCATGTCCTCTTCTGGCCTTGTTGGGCACAGCACTCATGTGAATGCACGTAAGTAAGATAAATATTAAAAGAGTAGAAAAAATGAAAAGTAGGGATGGGGTCAAGCAGCCAAATTATCAGAAAAGTACATTCCAAAAAAATGGAACAGGATTGCCTGATATGGTCAAGGGACAGCAAGGAGGCTCATCACCATGGCCTAGAGCTGGAGAGACCAGAGAGTACAAAACACACAGAGCCGTCGAGCTGCTGTGAGGATAGGCAGCTGCTGTGAAGTTCTAGGCAGAGCTATGATCTGAGCGGTCTCAGAGGAATCCCACCGGTTGCTACGTAGAGGACAGACTATGTACAAGACAGCTGGCCTGGATGCTTCAACACTATCATGAGTACAGGGTAAAGTCTTGTCTCAAAACACACACACACACACACACACACACACACACACACACACACGTGGGCAATTGTGAGCCTTTAATCCTAGCACTCAGGATGCAAGACAGTTGGATCATTGTGAGCTCAAGACCATAGTCTTGATGAGCCTCCTTGAGTCTATGAGTGAGACTCCCTCTTAAAGGGAGTGGGGAAAATAATATGTTTTATGACCTGGATTTTTTTCTTGAACTCTTGTGCAAATCCTTGGATGTGTGTGCTTATGGAGTTCAACACAGAGAAGTAAGATAAACAATCACATCACAGAGAAGACATGCCCGGTAAGGGATGAAGGGGAGTGTGGGAAACATAGTAAGACTTGCGTAGTCTTTGGGGCTGATTTAAAGAACATGAGAGTTCATTGATATTCAGAGGGAACACAGTTATAGGAAGAGGAGAAGCCCAGATGTGGGAGGAGTTATCGTGGGTCCGAGACAACAAACAAAGGGCTGAGGCTCAGGTACTAATATGGCAAGAGAAGATGTGGTCAGAGGAGGAACTGGAGAGGTGGTTCAGAGGTTAAGAGCACTGGCTGCTCTTCTAGCAGTCCTGAGTTCAATTCCCAGCAGCCCACGTGGTGGCTCACAACCGTCTATAATGAGATCTGGTGCCCTCTTCTGGCCTTCATGCATACATGTAGGCAAAATGTTATATACATAATAAATAAATCTTTAAAAAAAAATGTGTTCAGGGACCAGACTTGGGTCTTTATCCTAAGAAAAAGAAGGCTTTGTTTGTTGATGTTTTCTTCTTGAAAGAGTGGAAACTGTAAGGTAGAAAGGCCAGCCAAAAACATACCCTGACCTTAAAACCAAAGCCAAAGAAATACTCTGCCCCTGATCAATTCAGCACACACACACACACACACACACACACACACACACACACACACACATCAATCCCTGAGCACAAAATCCAGTCAATCTCTGAGTTTCTCCAAACTCAGGATTGAAAGCTGAACAATTCTCACCCTGGAAATCTTCACCCCGGAAAAACTCCACTCCTAAAGAAGCCCTCCCTGTGCCTGTTCAGTTTGGGGCTGCCTTTCTCCACCCTGGCAGAGGCAGCCACGTCCTGGATTCCTCCCCCCCCAATAAATCTCTTGAATGAGATTTTGGGTGATGAGTGGAATGGGGCAGAGAACAACTTTTGCTGGAGCAGGGGGAGACTCCCTTAGCAGAGCAGAGCTGAGCTTTAACAGCTTTCTTAGAGAGGAGAACTGCTACATCCCCCACCAGATCAGAACTGTAGGTATCACCTAGCTTCTGTTGGCCAGGATACCCTTCCCTACAGAGCTGTAACACTTACAGGTGCTATAACCCAATGTCTCTGGATACTCTTTGGAACACAGATCAGAAGGGGTTGATCTCCCAGCCTGGTCTACAAAGCAACCAGGGCCACACAAACAACTCTGTCTTGAGAAACAAAATGTCTTAGGATTTCTATTACTGTGAAGAGACACCATGTCCGTGGCAACTTTTTTAAGGAAAACACTTAATTGAG